TGGGCATTATGTGCTGAGGTTCCTTTCCCTCTGCCAAATAAATCAGAATTTTATAAAGTGAAGTCTAATATTGCTGTGCTGCAAATGTTTGCAAGGACATCACCGAGTGTTTTAGGTGTCAAGTTTAATTTGACTTGGTCTGGTCTAGTCTCTTAAGAAAGGCTTCTTAGGCATCAGCTGGGTCACAGAGAGAATTCCAGCTGCTTTGGCTTCTCGGGATGTGGCAGAAATCAGACCTTGATTTCCTGAGTATGTTTCCCCAAAAAAGGATTACTCCTGTCACTGCAACCCAAAGGGGTTAGTTGTAATGAAAGTTGCCATGCTTTTCTATTCCCTGAGTTTGAAGAATTGTTTTTGTGCTCGGTTTGGGGTTTTGTTTTGTCTTATTTTAGGCAGGAAGATGTGGTAACGAAGGCAGAGAGACTCATTCACACATTCTAAAGTATCCTAAAACATTCATGAACCTTGCTGTAAGTTTTTAGACACTGTCATAGGTTCTAGGACGATGGCAAGTGCTTACAAATTATCAAAATGTAAAAAGGGATAATAAAAATTAAATTATAAGTTCTGCATGTGCATGTACCTGTGTCTGTGTGTCCACACTCCCTCTGGAGGACCATTGCCTGCCTTGGACAGACTGCTTACTGCACACTCACCCGCTTGTGGAGGCCTGGACTGCAGCTCAGAGGCCCAGTGGCCTGGAGAACGGGTAACTCCTCCATGAGCCGTGGGTTTTTCTGGGCATTTTTCACCTCACAACAGCTCTAATGACCTTGGCATCAAGCTCTTACTGGGGATTAATAACTGGCTGGGCTTAATGGCCCTTACTGTGTCCTGGGCCATTTTCCCAGCCAGCCATTAATTCCAGGCAGTGCCCTGAGATCTGACCATTATGGCTCCCTGGGCTGAGAGGCTGCCTGAGGCAACTGGCCACAGCCTCCTCTGCAGACAGAAGTTTCCATGACCCACTCCTCCCCGCCCCCGACCCCCATGGCATCATTACTAAAGACTAGGCGGATGGACTAACTATTTGTTAGGGCATCACATTATGTCTACATTTTATGACTCAGGAAGCAGGTTTTCTCAGAAAACAGAGAGGATAAGAGGCTGGTTTTCATTCCCTCATTTATCCACCTTCTGTCTATTCAGTATTACTAAAATGATTTTTATGAGTCAGGATGGAAAAGAGATTACCAAGATTGGAGTGACCTAATATGGGTGACTTTGTTTTCTACCAATGGATGAAGTTCCTCACCAAATGGGACTTTAAGGAAAATGTCCCACAGGATCTGGGAGGTTAAATACTATGAGGGAGAAGCCAAAGAGAAGGTCTTATTAGGCAGAGAATCCATTGGGAGTCACCTACCTCCTGTGCCCTCCTCAGTGACGCTTCATCGCCTAGGCTGACAGCAGAGCCTCGAGGGTTCACCTTCCCATGCTCTACTCAGTGATTGGTCAGCCCAGCATCCTAGTACTTAAGGAAGGAACATGTAAGCATTACTTCAAGAATCTTGACTCACCATGGCATAAATATTTTCACCCGAGCCATTAAGACACTAAGGCTCCTAAGGGGACTTAGCCATGGAGGAACATGGCTGTCTCTGAGAACACATCCTAAGAAAAAGGTCACACAGTTTGTATGATTTTTAATCATTCTGCTTCCAAGACATCATTATTCCCTCTGAATGCAGAAAATAGATTTCATTTCCTCCTTTGGAAGTTGTTCTGCCTTGGGTACATGCTCTTCTCAGCTGCTGGGAGTAAAACATTAGGTTTAGAACAGCTACTGTCATTTTATTGGCACCACTCACCAAAAGGCACTTAAGGCGTAATTCAGACTTCAGTCTTTCTGCATTGTTTGGTGCATCTGCACAACTCAAAGAATGAGTGTCAGTGTCCAAGGCAATTGGTAATACATAGCTCAGGCCAGTGGGCAGGACAGATGGGGAAGGGCTGTCTGGGATCAGGTCAGCTGCAATGTGCTCTGGTGGCATCTGGTAATCACAGAGTGTGGCATGGTCAGGAAACCTAGCCTGCCCTGAAAGACAGGTTTCAGCCTCTACTCCTCACTTCTAACCACAGTCAGACTGTCACCTCTGTTAACTGAGACTGTTTCAGTCAAAGTCATCAAATCCAAAAACACTTCTGAAGTCTTGTCCTACCATGGCTTATGACAACATCGACTGCTCTCTCCCTTTTAAAATTGCTTCCTGTGTTAATTTCCATGGCAGGATTCCTTCTGTCATGCTCCCACTACTTGGTTCTTTGGACAGGCTCAAATGTTCCCTTATCTTTGATCCCGTGGCCCCTTGTGCCTGATTAGTTATGGTGCTCACTGTGCGGTCACTGTGCGGTAATTGTTCGTCTGGGAGCACCCTCCCCGTGGATTGTGCGCTCTCATTGATCATTTTATCTATAGCTCCAAGTTCAGTGTCTGGCACATAGTAGGAACACTATCATTGAATAAATCACCACTGAACTCTCCCTCATCATTATTCGTGTACAGAATGGCAGGTAAAATGAGGAAGAGGAGAGTGAAGTATTTCCTCATCCTTTGGCCACTGAAATTGCCCCCACCCCAGCAGTTCACCTAAGGGATTCAGGACTCCATGTTCCAGCAGTTTCCTGAGAAGAACAGAGGCCACTTTCTGGGCAACTGGAATGTGGCTTTTCCTAAAGAGGCGAGTCAGGCCTTAACCATGTTTTGCCATCATGGCCTTAAGGGTCTACCTGGACAAGTCTACTGTGAATGATCCTCCAAAGAGTGCAGGTATTGGATAGAAGACTTTTTTCACTTACTGCATCCATATAACTGGGTTTCTGGGAGGGAGGAAAGAAGGTAGGCAATGAGCCAAGCAAACATCCTGTGACTCTCTATTTATTCTACTGTACTGCAGTGATACAATGCTGGGTCCCATTGGCTGTTAAGTCAGATTTCCTGAGTTCTAATCCCAATTCTCCCATTTCCTAATTGTATGATCTTGAGCAAGTTTCTTTACATTTTTATCCTTTGATATTCTCATTTGTAAAGTAGAAGTGATAATATAATATCTACCTTATAAAATTACTTGAAGGATTAATATACTGTATAAAAAGCTCAGAACAGCCTGGCATGTGGAAAGCACCCAATAAATATTAGCTACTTGACTCTTTATACTCTCAGCTTTGCTGTGCTCTAAACAACCCTATCACTCATACTTCCAGCAGAGCCCCCTCCTCGTCCCCTGTCACACATTAATGCACTCTCACTGACCCACCGTCCCTCACAAAAATGCAAGCTTTCAAGGATTTTCTCCTCCCTATCTTTGCATTCAGATTGCCTAGCACAGTGCCTGTCATCTCAGAGCAATTGGATGTTGTATGAATGATGAGAATTTGCAATGGTTGACTCTCCCTTTCACAAGCCCATGTGTCAATTACAAACCCGAAGTGCTCAGCACTGATTTAGTGAGTACTTACAATGTGCTCCACACTAACTGATAATTCTAAGAGCCCCTGTCATTTATTGAATGATCACTGTGCCAAATCCTATGCTGAGGATTGGATTCAATCACATGCAATTGCTAATTTTGCAGATCAAATATTGGCAATCAAATGACTCAATCTAACACTCTAGGTATCTACTTTTGCTAATTCTACCCAGGTAGAGTGGGCTGTTTTCCTCAGTTAGAGATGAAGAAACAGGTTTATGGAGATTAGTGATTTACCAAGGCTTCACAGCTCGTAGGTGGTAGAAAAAAGCTGGACCCATCCTGCCACAGCCAAGAACCTGTGTTCTTGGGTCTTATGCGATAAGGGAAGGCAACTGCCCTCAGGTGCTCTCATTCAGGTTCTGAAGTCAGAGCCATGGCTCTGGGAAACTTCCAGAGTAAATACAAGACTGAATATATGTGGCACTAAGTTGGGTCTGATTTCCCAAACCTGTGCATCTAGTGTGTCTTTCTCAAAGCTAGAGAAGTTAGAAGGGCAGACTCTGGGTGAAAACCAACAATGCAGCTTTCCTTCGGAGCATCTTGATTGATTTCTTTTGCACTTATTGGCCTTGGCCTCAGGATCTAATTTCATTATCTTCTAAAAGCAACTAAGAGATAGTTCTCATTAAAGATGAACAAGGGGAATGTTTAATTTCTTAGAACATAGGTGTTCAGAAAGCAAATCACTAGTTCAGGATGTTGAACTGAGCACTGCTATTGGAGTTGTCGCTGGTGGGCACTGCAGCCAGGACCTCCCAGGGTACAAGGTGACTGCAGATGAGAGAAGAACCCAGGCTCTGCAATTCCTGGATGAGATCTGCAGCTCTGAATTTAGACTTTCCTTTCATTTGTGAAAAACAGACCAATTCAGTTTCCCTCTCTGCTCCCCTGCCATTTAAGTGAGACTAATGATCTTAATTGTCATTTCAAAATTATGGCACTGAAGGGGCTACAACCTGCATGACATCTTCATATGATTCCTATATGATGTTTATTTAGAGTAAATATGTTTGTACCGCATCCAGGAATATTAGTAAACACATAATTTTTCAATAACAGCATCAAAACCAGTGTCAGAGCAATTTGCAGTATGGTCTTCTCTTCTGCCTGGGGGTAACTTTGAATTCAGAAAAACCTAGTTTTGAGAGTTTGCCTTTGTTACTCATCTTTGGGAAAATTTCTTAACTTCTCTAAGCTTGAGTTACCCTCCTCTGTAAAATTACCATGATGGCAGCCTCACTGGGTAAACGTGTCAATGTGGTTATTTAACATCAGGAAAGCCTCTAGCCAATGTTTAGCAGATCAGTGTGCCAGCTCCTTCTCTCTTGTCCAAACTTCCCTTTCACCAGTTCAGAAGAGAACGTAAGGATCCATGAATTCACAGCAGATGGGATATAATCTGCGTAGGAGAGAGAAGAGAGTTGGAACCCCCTGACCCTGCGGCAGGAAAGTAACCTGCTGGTAGCAACTGAAGGTTATGTCCTTTGCCCTTCATCCTGACAGTGTCCTTCTCTCCCCTGCTTCCAGCCCCTGAAAATGCACTGCAGAGACTGTGCCCTGGTGACCAGCTCAGGGCATCTGCTGCACAGTCGACAAGGCCCCCAGATTGACCAGACAGAGTGTGTCATCCGCATGAATGACGCCCCCACCCGTGGCTACGGGCGTGATGTGGGCAATCGCACCAGCCTGAGGGTCATCGCTCATTCCAGCATCCAGAGGATCCTCCGCAACCGCCACGACCTGCTCAACGTGAGCCAGGGCACCGTGTTCATCTTCTGGGGCCCCAGCAGCTACATGAGGCGAGATGGCAAGGGACAGGTGTACAACAACCTGCAGCTCCTGAGCCAGGTGTTGCCCCGGCTAAAAGCCTTCATGATCACACGCCATAAGATGTTGCATTTCGATGAGCTGTTCAAGCAGGAGACTGGCAAAGACAGGTACAGAGGCTCAGGTGGAGGGAGGCCAAGGGTGCAGGGATGGAGCATCTCAGTGTTGACTTAGTCACCAGAGGCAAAGTTTTTGCTAAGGGCCTGTGTCGTGGGCCCCACTGCTCACGTCATTGAGAGAACTCATCCTTAGGGTTCTCCTGGAGACTGGGATGCTCAAGCTGAATTTATAAAGCATAGTGAAATGAAGCATTGAGACCACTGTACGGATAATTTAGGGCCAAATCCCTATTTTGAGGAAAAGGCTGAAAAGCTGTGACCAATATTAGTAAAAAAAAAAATGCAATATTTCATTATTGTATTTTGCTTTACTTATAAGAACATTTATCAAAAATAAGTGTATGGTTTTGTTTTTCCCTTTCAAAAGCAAAATTTTACTCAGCCAACTGATATTTATTGAGTACCTACACTTGCTCAGCATTACACCTGCCACTGGGGATGCATTCAAAATCAAGACCCTGCCCTCCAAGAATATAAAGTCTTAGGTACTCTCCAAGCAGTGGCCAGTGTGCTGAGGGTCATGTGAGGGAAAGAAAATGATGCTGTAACATGTAAAGCAGGAGACACACTATGGACTAGGGCAATGTTTTCTAAAATGTTAATTAAAACTGAAAATATATTAGTTGAAACAGTATACTAAAAACCAGTGGAGCCTGGCATGGTGGCTATACCTCTTATCCCAGGGAATCTGGAGGCTGAGACAGTAGGACAAGTTCAAGGTCAGACTCAACAATTTAGAGAGTCCTATCTCAAAATAAAAAATAAAAAGGGCTGGTGGGGTATGGCTCAAAGGTAGAAAACTCTTGGGTCAAATCCCCAGTACTACAAAAAGAAAAACTACTTTAGAAAAATAAACAAAATGAAACATTTATATTTATATATACACGTATGTACATATTTTATGGACATATGTATGTATTTTCAATCATGATATAAAATGTATTTCTCACTATAGATTGAAAATTTTTTAAATTACTGAGGGAAATCTTTCTGAAAAAGGTATACTTAAGCTGAGACCCTGACCAATCAGGATTTATCCAAGGAAGGAAGGAGCTGGGATGGGGGGAGCCTCCCCCCATCAGTTGAGAGAACAGGAAGGGGGTTGGAGAAAAGCCTCCATGTGGCTGCACTCAGGAGGGCTGAGGAATGGAGCACAAGACAAGGTCAAGAGATGATGTGTCACCAACCAGCCAGATCTAAATGGAACAAAAGACAGAGAGGCACCTAGGACTCCAGTGTAGTGTGGTCCGAACTTACAGTGGAAAGTCTGGTGTTATCACGTGACCTTGGACATTTTATCACGTGACCTTTTACATGTTATCAAATATTTTAGAGACTCAGTGAACTTACATGTGAAAGTAACTATCAGTCCTGGACTGGTCTAATGATTAAATTTCCATGATTCCTTAATTCTAAAACATGTACTTGTGTGGTTAATATACATTTAGTGATGTGATTTACTCTTATAAAAACTGTTGTTGAATCAGTTTCTTATCTTAAAACTACAGAGATACGTGAAATAATGAATATAAATTACTGAATCTATTATTTGGCTGCATAGTCAGCATATTAATCTTATTAATCTTAAAGATTAAAGTACACCATCCCCAAACTATTTGTGTGGAAGAGCTACCTTTGTAAATCCTGGAAGCCTTGTGATGGTTTGAGGGCTGGCATTGGCAGGGTAGGCCTGGGGTCCAGGGGAGAGTGGAGAGGCACTGCTGCTAGTAACCACATGGCCCCCTTCTAGGAAGGCCCAGCAGCCCCGTGGTTAGACCTGACCATCATTCCAAGTAGCCACAAAACCCAGTCATGTAAATCCCTTTAATACCTACAAATAAGAGAGACTTCTACTCGTGTGAATGAGTTATTTAATCAAGAAAGTATTTTATAAGAGATGAAGAAGGAGGGGACTATGTGAGTACGCCTTGATTTTACTGGTTGGAAATTTCAAAATAAGTAGAAACTCTTCATTAGAAAACACTTCTCTCTTTTTTGTTGAATGGCTATTTGCTAAATTTAAGTATTCATGAAACTCTGCCACAGAGATGGGCATTGAGGATAACTATACATGGCTCTGAATCTTCTTAAGGGATCATGTTAAGTAGATAACTTGGAGACAACCATCCCAACCTTTGCCACTTAGGATCTTCAGGACACAATCTCACACCAAGACACATCCTACTTGTGAAAGCTTTCTGCTCACTGCTTCTACCTCCCTGGTCATCCCAGCAAAATCTTTGCAGATAAGCTCCTGAGTCCCTTTCCACAAACAGTCATCTACTGGGACCCACTCAATCCTAGTTGGATGGATCACACTTACAAATTTGTATTGACTCTTCTAGAAGCTTATGCTTTTTACCTTTAGGAAACTGTTTTTATAAAAAAAAAAAATGGGGGGGGGGGTACCAGGGATTGGATTCTAGGGGCACTTAACCACTGAGCCACATCCCCAGCCTTTTCATTTTTCATTTATAGACAGGGTCTCACTAAGTTGCTTAGGGCCTCACTAAGTTGCTGAGGCTGGCTTTGAACTCGTGATCCTTCCTTCCTTAGCCTCACGAGTCACTGGGATTACAGATGTGCACCACTGCACCTGGTTAGGAAACTGTTTTCAAAAAGCTCATATTGTTGACTCAATCTTTTTATGTGTGTATTTTCTTAACCTGCAGCCTGCTCCAAACTAAAAGAATCAAGTCAGAAATAGTCTTTCAGAATAAAACTATTTCTGTAAATTGAAGCACAAAACATTTAGAGTGTAACCATATTTCCTCTGTGTATGCATTTCTTGAAACCCAATAAAATAGTAGCATGTATTGAAGGTACATAAAGTATGGAATATCTAATTTGCAAATCTCATGATCAGGACATTTATTTCAGGCTAATATTTTGAATAAATGTGATAATTCAATAGATTTTGATTTATAGAAGTCTTACCCTACTTAAAAGTGGAGGAAAAAAATGGCTCAGGAACAATCTGCAATTAAGAAGCATGACAAATGACATAGATGGCCAAGTAGTATTCTTTGATATTAGAAAGTAACTGTACTCGAAAATAACTTTATAATTGAATAAGGGTACATTAGGAAAATATGATTCAGAACCAATATTATAGTAATTAGATAAAGGAAGCATAAATGAAATAACTGCAGGAAGAATATTTCCATAGAGATTATAAATGAGATTCTGGTGGAGCAGAAAGGCCTTTAATTGTAATTTAGTGTGCACTATAGAATTATCAGCTCAGTGTGTTACTTCATCATATAAAAGAATATCTGATAATTTTCCCTAATAAGCACATGACAGCTCTTCATATTCTTTCATTACAGCTGATTAAGTGTAAAAACAGTAGATATTCCTTTGTTGGAAAAAAAAAGAGTTGAAATCTTTTTAGAAAGAAAGTACAAAGCAGTTGTATTTCTATAGCACGTGATCCCAAAAGGCTATTATTTAGGAAGTCTGGGGAATTTTAAGTGGCACTTTAAAGAACTCTCACTGTAGTTTCTTTACTCCTCTACTTTATATTCTCCCCATTTTTACCCATGAAGCCTTTTTCTGTAGAGCCACATCCTCCTGTGTTGAAGGCTGTGGCTTGTGATCTCCACTACATCACACAAGAGAACAAAAATTACAGGACAGCCTCCACCCCCCGGGGAAAAGCCCTCTTTGATGCTTCCAGTAGCTTTAAAAGCATAGGGGATATAGGTGTGATTCCTAGATCAAGATGCTGTGGATATAAGGGAATGTCATTGTATTCCAGGGCTCCACATCCTCCCAGTTATTATTCACCCAGATTAGAACTGGCCAAGACATTATCACAGCACAGAGGCAAAGACTGGCTTTAACTTAAGGGAAGTCACATCCTCTCCTTACCCTTAACAGTTCAGTAAGTTGTGCTCCATGCAATCTCCTTCAGCCTCCAAGTCTTTGTGAATATAAGCCCTCGTGAGAATTGATGGAGACTGTTAATTCTTCTGTGGGCTGGAAGCTTCTGAATTTTATAATTGCTGCTCTGACTACTGATGATGGCTTCTACATAAGACCCCTGTAGCACAGTACTAGAAGGATTTTCTTCATACTAAAAAGCACTGAGAGGAATGGTTGAATTATTTACTTCTAGCAACCAAAAGAGATGGAAGGAATCATGATGTATCAACACACTACACTGAACACTTTTCATGGGTGTTCTCTCATTTAGTTCTCAAATAGCCCAGAGGACAGAGCTTCCCGTGTCTGCCTTATAGATAAGAAACCAAGGGTCAGAAATCAGCAACAAACTGCCTGCCTCAGGTCATCCAGCTGGTTATGATAGAAACAGGAAAGATTCAAGCCTGTGTTGTTCCCATCTTTAGGAGCATTTAAATGCACTCCCTGGAACATTACTGGGTCAGGATGGGATGGAATGGAATGAAGGAGAAAAAACTAAGCAAAGGGCTTAAGAACTAAAAAGTTGAAACCCCCATTTGGAAATAACTGAATCACCAATGCCTGCCAGGTATTTGATGAAACAAAGGACTCCTTAAAATTTTTTTTGGTCCTTATTTGAAATGGAAATAATGCAGACTGCTTAACAAGTCTTCCTTCTTCTCAGGGAGGGGTGCTACACAAGGCCAATAGAAAAGCCTTTCTGCAACTTTGTTATTCACATCACATCTGGTGCTGTGGCTGGGCAAAGTCAGACAGTCTGACCTTGGGGATAAGGTGTTTGAAACTGGCTAATGAGGCATGCCATAAGCACTGGGAAAAAAAGCAAAAGTGGCAACCCCCAAAGAATTGAAATTAATATCCATAGCAGCGTAGCATGGGAGACCGAGTCATCTCACAGGGTCAAATTAGACCTTGGTGTTAGGTCTCTACAGTTATCCTTAGGCTTGGCATATTGCTCAATGCAGCTGTGTGACCAGCAAATTAATGAATGTGGAATACACAGATTCATTCCTTTAGTTTGTTAATTTTTGACTGACCATAAAAATTTTCAGAAGGCCTTGAGTGTTCTAAGAGAAAATAAAGCAAAGGCTCAGTTAAATATAAGCAGTTAAATAAAAGAACCATAAAATATGGTTCTTTTCCTCTGTCATTAGCCCCTTCCCAAATAAGTATGTTTTTCACTAAGATGTTCCATCCCAACATTGGTGTTAATTTGTTTACTTGAAGACAAGCTTTGACCTTGAGATTGATCAATTGATCAATAGATTGATAGACCTATCCACATGTTTGCTCATATTTAAATTATTCATTGTCATGACTGGAGATGGAATCAGTGGTACAGCACTTGCCTCACCTGCATGCACAAGGCCCTGGATTCTATCCCCAGCAATGAAAATTAATTAATTCTTCATTATCTAGCCAGCTTGGAGTACAAGGAAAATTTCTACTTAGACTCAAATAATCTAGTTAATAAAAAAAAAATTGTCCCACAGATACCTTGCCATCTTATAAGAAATTGAGTTATGATAACACATATGTAAACACTGAAACATTAATCATTTTCTTTGGTGATATAGAAGTCTTCTGAGCATCCTTTAGTGTCACGAACCCACCGTGATAGTATGCCAATATCGGTTATGATTATACCATGTAGTATGGTGCTGTTGATAAGAGAGATCAATTTGGTAAAGTTATGCATATTTACCAAGTGGAGAGAGAGAGGGAGGGAGGGAGGGAAGGAAGGAAGGAGGGAGAGAAGGAGAACATCTGTATCTGTCTGTCTGATTATGGTCAGCTTTGCTCCAGAAAGAATTTAAGGTGGTAATGGATTTGATGACTATTTTACCAGATTGCAGACTTAATCACTGTTTCTTCCAGGAAGATCTCCAATACTTGGCTCAGCACTGGCTGGTTCACAATGACGATTGCTCTGGAGCTGTGTGACAGGATCAATGTTTATGGCATGGTGCCCCCAGACTTCTGCAGGTAGGATTTATTCTGCAAGTGTAATTTGTCATCAGTGTTGTACAGGGCTTATAAATATTCTGCTTCTGAATATCAACCGTGAAACATGTCTGTCTTCTTGAAGCAATTAATTAGCATGTCCCAAGTTCTGGTTCTAAAAACAACAAACAGCATTTAATTATGTGATATAAAATATTGAAAGTTTTTGTTTGTACTCCAAGAGAATTAATCCATCTCATGGGCTTCATTTATGCTCGGAATATTTATCAGCCAAAAGTAATGCAATAATTGGCATAATATTAACAATGAACAAGCATTAAGAAATATTAGTTTTCTTCTCATTTGAAAGGAAGGTTGTATTTTTAAATGAATTAAAGAGGGAAATTCCTTGAACAGTGAAGCCTGTTTTCTAAAATTAAAATATCCCTCTGAGCCTCTTTCTCTTGCCACATCAGTAGCCTCAGTTTGCAGTTCTAAGGCCAAAAAGCACAGGCACAATTATTTTGATGTATCACTTTAAAGGCAGCATGTGCACATGTCTGTGGCTGCCTTGAGCTCCCTCCTGGCGTGTGCCCAGGCAGTGCGTGTGTGCCAGCAAAGCCTCACAGTATTCAGGGCCTGATGTGTGGAAGCCCACTTAAAAACTCACTTGTAACTTTAAGTACTCAGGTCAATAAATTCAGAAAGCACCCAATTTTCAGGAATGCCCAATAGCCTACACGTAGCCTCACTCCTGATCTTCAAATGGTCAGACCTGGGGCTGTTATATTTTAAACTTGCTGGTTAAAATTCATGCTTGCCTATGCCTTCATGAGTTTTAAACCCAACAATGGCTCAAAGGCCATATAGATTGTTGGGCAAAGGCTACAATTTGGAGGTTTAAAACAAGGATGAGAAAGAATATTTAATCATGCCTGGAAATTAATGATGCTAGTCTGCTTTCTGTTGTTATAACTGAATACCATAAACTGGCTGTTTATAAACAATGAAGCTTTATTTAACTCGGGGCTCTGGAGGCAGGGAGGTACAAGGTCGAAAGGGTGCATATGGTAAAGGCCTTCTTGCTGATAGGGCTATGCAGAGTCCTGGGGCAGCATAAGGCAACACACAGTGAGAGGGGCACACACAAGACACCAACAAAGTGGCTTTCATAACAGACCCACGAGATAACCCATTAATCCTCTATCCATTAATCCATTAATCCATTCATGGGGGCAGAACCTTCATGAACCAATCACCTCTTACAGGTCCCACCTGGTTTCCCTTCTTAATACCTCACTATAAGGATTAAACTTCAACCCAAGTTTTGGTGGATGCATTCAAAAACCATAGCAATGCCATTACCATTTTGCCACTCTTCTCCTACCATTTTTAATGCAAAAGTTCAACATAATAACAGAGCTGGTGAATATGACAGAGTCACGTCACAAAGAGGGAATGGTCTGGACACAGAGACCTACTTGCAAGGGTGTCCTGTGCAGGGCCAGACTGCAAGGGTAAAGCCCAGTTTAGCACATGCCAACCTAGGGTGCCCTTGACAAGGCACCTCATGGCTCTATGTCTCAGCTTCCAGACCTATAGAAGTGGATGTGATGATGATAATAGACTGCCTCTGAGAATCGTGGGTGGACTAAATAAGTTAATACATGTCTTGGAACAGCACCTGGTACATGGCAACACGAAGCAAGTTAGCTTGGATCCTTACCCAGTTCCTCATCACTTAATTCACTGTCATTGTTTCCCTGTTTAACAACTTATGTGCAAAAAGTAGGGAGGATGGTACAAAAAAGCAAACTGCCTCTTCAAACCAACAACCTAACAAAGGCAGCGAGAACAGCACTACAGACATGCAAAGAGTCGTCAACGGTTATATGGTAGATATAATTATGTAATACATTTCCAAGCCATCAGGGTGCTGGAAAGAAAAAGCAAAAATAAGTTGAAATGTTAATGCTTTAGAGTGTTCAAGGAAATATTCCATTTATTATGGAAAACAAACGAAAAGCAAGTAACCTGCCATTTTCCTTACTCAGTTAGTTCATTGCAACTTCATGTACAGTAGGATAGAAATGATTATGGAACGATACTTACAAGGAAATTAAGATGTCAGTGCACCATATGCTGCCACTGGCTCTGGGTTTCTGTTCCTCAGCTGCCATTGCAAAGGTTCAGCAGTTGTCTGCATGAGATGCTTTCAGCAAGGACTCTTCAAAAGGATCCCTATTCTTGGAGTCCTGTCAGAAACATGGAGAAGTGTTGGGTATCACCTGGAAGGGAAGGGCTGGAGAGAGCACCCTGCTGTCAATCACATAGGATTTCTTTTCAACAAAAGAGCCCTTGGCAAATATGCAGCTTGGCAACCTCTGGTCTAAGATACAATCATCCTACTTTACAGTCTAAATATAACTCTCACATACTTTGCAGAAGAGTTTGACCATCACCTTCTTATTTTCAGGAAAGCTGAGGAATAGAGAGGCAAAGCACTGAACTCACTCCCATCGAGATATCCAACAGGGTGGGGTGGTGGTGACTCAAAGGGGATATCAGCAGCCACACGGGTGATGTGAGGGAGGGGAGGCAGTGGGAGAGGAAGTAGGGCCTAGATTACAGCTCAGAGAAGCGAACAGCTAAGCAATGCATGATCTCCAAGTTAAGGGTGGGTAGGGTATTCACCCCTACAAACCTGAAGCTGCCATTTTCTATCCAGCTCTCCTGGAGCTGTGGCCTTCTCACCCAACCCAACTGGCTTGAATTACTTTTAGGATTATGTATAGATAGATTATATATTAGGTATATAAATGGCCATGTTGGCAGATGAGGGACATATTCAAGACCTGGAAGAATCAAACACTGACTAAAAGTCATCTGAGTGGCCAGAACTTTTCTTCTTGGATTTGTTAGATCCATCGCCTCCTGACTGCTCTCTCCAATCCTGATCTTTTTCTCTTCAAACATCACTGTGCAGCCAGGGAACACCACAGATCTGACCTTTTGCCACTTGAAACTGCTCAGTGGCCCAGCCCCAACGCTTTAAAAATAGAGTCTACATTTCCAAGCTTAGCACCCATTAGCCCTTCAGAATCAGGCTTCCACAAGCTCCTGTAGTCACGTCTCCTCCACTCACACAGATTTATTTGAACCACACTGAAAATCTTGTCAAGGAAATCACACTGCAGATACCTTCCCTGTGCCCTCAGCTGGGAAGGCCGCTCCCCTAAGTTTCTTAATCTGGCTGATTACTACTATTTCTTTACTAATAATATGAATGGCTGAAATTTTGTGTGCACATATCTCACATCAGCACTGTGCCTAGCATGAACACGTGTGTTATTCTGTTGAAGTCTGAAATAATCTGCTGAGGTGAGCATCATTAGTATCACTATTTTATATAAAGACTGAAACAGCTCACCAAGGTCTTACAGCAGATAAGTAGCAGACCCAGGATTTGAATCTAGGTCTCTAGGGCTCAGGCACCAAAGTTTTCAACCTTCCACTTCCTCAAATCCTCCTGGACACATGTCAGAACTTTGGGGCCCACTGGGCCTTCCTCTACCTCTATGCTGCCCAACCTCCGTGACCAGTTGGTCTACTTCCTTCATTTGTTTCTTGGCCCCTTAAGAAAAGGGGTCATGTCTCAGTCCCCATTTGTATCTTTAGCCATTGTCACCGTGTCTGAAACATAGTATATGTTCAGTATAGGCTGGTTCCATGATAAACAAAAGACTTTTCCTTGGGGTTATCTAAGAGATTAGTTCAGAACTTTTGTCCCAAGACAAAAAGTGCCAGGTGATTGAAGAGTGTAATTAGCAAATGGCAAATTCAGATTTTGAGGGAGGCCCAGAAGTCAATGGTGGCCCTACTGTCTCATTCCCAGCCAGGACCAGCATTGTGTCCTCATAGGAGAGCTCAGGTATCAGCTCTGACCCTTCCCCCATTGCCAGACTTCATGCTCATCAGTGTTCAGAAAGCTGGAGAAAATAAACGCCATGTTGCACCAGAGACAGCATCGAAATATATTATTCTGTGGACAGTAGACACTTAAATCATGCCGTATCTATGTAGGAAGCCAAATCCTTTCTCCTTGGATGGACTATAAATTGCACTATAAAGATCTGTTATCGTTGCTTTCTAAACTAAGTTATGATGAGTATTTTTAACCTCATTTTCCATTGTAAATTATTTGCGATAGTAATGGGCCAAGCATTTAAATTCTACCTAATAATCTTATTTCTGGTCATACTTAGCACATTACCAAGTTTACAACTCTCTGTTACCCATCATTTCTTGAGTATTAATTAGTGGGGTAATGATTCAGAGTGATCACTGTCATGGAACTAAATTAATATCTCATCCATAATGTGAAGGACATCTCAAAGGTATCGTGAATACCAGAGAGTTGATTCTGCTAGAATTCTTAGCTAGTGAACATTAATAAAACTGCCAGCAATAAGTACCAGGGAAAAGTTTCTACTTGGAGATAGTCCACTGTGCAGAATCAGATACTTATGGTGGACAGATGTGGAATGGTATTGCCACCTATGTAATTTATATTTTATGAAGTAGAATTAAAGCATATTATTGTATTTCTTCCTGAAATCTTATTGTTTCTCCAGCTTTGCCATGATTTGATCAACTCTTGCCAGTCACTGGGTGTTTTCATTACCTTCCTCCGACTCCCATGGATATCACTGGTCTATTCTGAGATGTTATGACATCACCCAAAAAGTCTAAATTTGGGGGGCCAACGTGGGGCTCAGGTGACTCATCATGGCTCTTTGTCATATGAAGGATAAGCAGCTACAGGTTCTTGTTACTGTGTGCTCCAGATACATGTTCGTACCAAGATTTGCAAGTGTGCAACCAATTCCCTTCTAAAGAGGTTCCAAAGCCAAGAAATCAAGGTAGCAGAGTAATTGTGAATTGGCGGGACTTCTGAACTTACAGCAGATAATTTTTAATGTTCTTTTTAAAAATTTGTTCCATTTACATTTGCATGACAGTAGAGTGTATTTTGACATATT